TATGTTGGCAGTAGGTAGGTCATAAGACTTTCATCATGCTGAGATAAAGACTTTCCATACTTATTTTCTTCAGGGTTTTTTTTTGTTTTGTTTTTAAATCATGAATGGATGCTGTGTTTTGCCAAGGGCTTTCTCTGCATCTGTTGAGATGATCATGTTATTTTTGTCCTTGGTTCTGTTTATGTGATGCATTACATTTATTGATTTGCATTTACTGAACCATTCTTGCATCTCTGGGATGAAGCCTGCTTGGTCATGGTGCATTTGATAATTTGCTGCATTCTTTTTGATGATTTACTGCATTCTATTTGCCACTATCTTGTTAAGGACTTTTGTATCTATGTTCATTAGAGAAATTGGCCTATAGTTCTTTTTTTGGTTGGACCCTTGTCTAGTTTTGGGATCAGGATAACGTTAGCTTCTGAGAATGATTTTAGAAGTATTCCTTCCCTCTGAATTTCATTAAAAAGTTTGAGGAGTATTGTGTTAGATCTTCCTTAAATTTCATGCAGAATTTGGCTGTGAATCTATCAGGTCTTGGGATTTTTTGGTTGGTAAGTTTTGTTTTTACTGCTTCAATTTCATTGCCTATTATTGTACTGTTCAAGATTTTTAATTCTTGGTTCAGTTTTGGCAATTCATTGGTATCTAGGAATCTTTCCATTTCCGAGTTCTCCCATTACTTGACATACACGTTTGTAAAGTAGTTCCTAATAACTTTCTAGATTTCAGCAGTGTCTGTTGTGATTTCACCTTTTTCATTTCTAATTGTATTAATTTGTGTCTTTTCCTTTCTTTTTTTGGTAAGATTGACTAAGAGTTTGTCTATTTTATTTATTCTTCCAAAGAAGCAGTTCTTTGATTCACTGATTCTATGTATTGTTTTGGTTTTTGTAGTCTCTATTTCATTAATTTCTGCTTTTTTTTTTTTGATACCAGGAATAGAACTCAGGGCCTTGTGTCTAATTTTTCCTTGTACAAGCTTTGTGTTTGAATTGCTCTTGTTTTTCTAGGACCCTGAGGTACATCATTAGATGTACTGATTTTCTGATGTGGGCATTCACTGCTATAAAGTTCCCTTACAGGACTGCTTTCATTGTGTCCTATAAGTCCTAGTATGTTGAGCTGGCATTATCATTTAATTATAGTAATTGTCTTATTTCTTCCTTAATTTCCTCTGTAACCCATTGATTATTCAAGAGTGTGTTGTTTAATTTCCATATGTTTGCATAGTTTCTGTGTTTCTTTTGCTAATGATTTCTGGTTTCACTGCACAGTGATCTGATAATATGCATGATAAAATTTCAATTCTTGACTCTGCTTTTTGTTCTTTTTTTATCTACTTTTCCTAACATTTTGCTTTGAAAAAATTTAACCTCACAAGTAAACCAAAAATATAAATACAATGAATAGCAAATCATATATTGTATTACTTTTATTATTTTACTTTCTAGGCTAAGAAGTTATCTAATTTTTCTATCTTTAGATCTGATTAGCTTTTTGACACAAAGGCAATGTTTAAATACTAAATGTTGTCTTTTCCTGATCATAATCCTCTAATTCATCTTTCATCTACTAGAATCACAAATTTCTAATACATAAAGCTGATCACATCTCTTCTTAGCTTAGGTACTAATAATAAGTAATATCTATTACTATAAATTCAGCAGTATGACAAGCATATTGCATACACTATCTAATTTGATTCTATAAACCACTATTATTATTTTATTATTATTTTTGGTACTGAGGATCTAACTCGGGACCTTGCACTTATGAGGCAGGTGGCGGAACCACTGAGCTAAATCCCTGGCCGTGTAAAGTACTATTATTAATCCCAATCTTATAGGTAAAGATATGGAGACACAGAGGATTAAATAACTTATCCAGATTTACATAGTACATGACAAATTCAAGCTCTGGACCGAGACAAACTAATCCCCAAATCCATGCACTTAAGCATGAATTGACCATGCTTTCTTATTCTTTCTTGGATTTGAACATACTCTCTAAGCCAAAATCCCTGTAATTTCCTATTTATCTTAAACTCGAGGTATACTTAGGCATGCTTCTTTGTTTTTTATTCTGGAACAGTTCTTCAGTCTTCATCTTTTATGACTTTTTTGAAGAGTACGATCAAGACAGTTTTTGCAGTGTCTTTTAGTTTGGGTTTGTTTAGTGTTTCCTCATTATTAACTCAGGCTATGAATTTTTGGCAGGAATACTGATAAGTGCTTCAGATCAGGAAGAACATGATACCTACTTGTCCTTTTACTGGTGATGCTAATTTTGATCACAAATTTCTCTATACATTTTTCCTAATATAGTGTACAAACCATGTATTCATATTAACACTTCCAATTTCAATTCAATAACACAAGGTTCACTGTAGAAACCAGGCTTATTTGTTTAGCAGTTTCTAATAAAGGATATTACAAAGGATATAGATGAAGAGATGAGCAGGGTGAGGTAGGGCAGAAGGGGCACAAAATTTCCATGTCCTCTCTGGGTATGCCACCCTACCTTCACATGTTTAACTATCTAGAAAATCCTATCTTGTATGTATGTATGAATGCATGCATAGTGTCGTGGGGCCTTGCATATTCTAAGTACATGCTTTACCACAAACTACATCCCCAGACTCCCTTCTATTCTGAAGTTTAATCTCTAGGATGAGGTTATAAACTACAGTGGACATGAATAGACCTAATTTTCATCCTCCTTCCCTTCCCTTCTTTTTTAAATTTTTTTTGGTACTGGGGATCAAAGGCAGGACTTTGTGCTTGCGAGGCAGTCGCAGTTCCACTGAGGAAAATCCCCGGCCCCTCCTTCCCTTCTTTATCAGCAAATATTATTGTTATAGATAGAGAAAAAATAATTTGTTATTGGAAAAATATATGGACATTGCAGCAGCAAACATTAATACATTGTTATTTTTCTACATAAATATAGTATCACATAGGCCTAAAACACAAAATGGAAAATTGATGGTTATAAACTTACAAAAATTAACCCACAATTTCCAAATTTTGTTTTGTGGTTATGATTTTTCTCCCTTATAAATGCAAACAAGAAATTTGTAAAACCTGAAGATTCTTCACGTAACTCAACTTCATTTTTTTCACTGTGTAAATAAATCTACGTAAACGCATAAGTAAACAATGACATCATTTCAAATTACAGTAAACTAGGTGATGATATCTTTTTCTATAGCATTACTTTAGCACACCTGCTTCCAGCTGGTCTGGAGAAAAGCAAGGTCCAAAATGAGGTCATGGAATTTGTTTCAACAGATTTCAGTTAGTTGATTACTGTAGAGCTTGAGTTTAAAAAGTTATAGGAGTGCTTTTTTTTTTTCTGGTACCGGGGATTGAACTCAGGACCTTGTGCTTGTGAGGCAGGAGCAGTACCACTGAGCTAAATCCCCGGCCCAGTAGGAGTGCTTTTTTATATAAGCGCAAAATATCTTAAAACCACAGGCCCCTGACACTCCTTAAAAGTGTGTTATTTACTTATGTTATCTAGTTTGTTAAAAGAATGATGACAGGAGTCAGATAAATCTAAATTACAAGGGACCGGGGATTTAGCTCAGTGGTGCCGCCGCCTGCCTTGCAAGTGCAAGATCACGAGTTCGATCCCCAGTACCAAAAAAAATCTAAGTTACAATCTTGCCTCTACTCTTTACTGTCACTTAGGGAAAACTTAATATCTCTCAGTTCATGCCCCTCTCAAAATATGCATAATAATCCCCAATTTGTAGGACTGTTGGTGAGATTAGAAGTCTGGGTAGTAATGAGCATAGTAACAGGTACATAGTTGCACTAAATAAATAAAAATCTCTTTATTTAAGGTCTGCAACTTTGATTTGGTTTGGTTTCATAGTGTTATGTACTTCAATTATCATTTCCTACCTACAGTAAAGTTTCCTGTGTTTGCTTCCTTCAGAGTAAGTAACTTCTCACATCAAAAAAATTTAGGTGAAAGCATAGACCTGCAATCCTAGCACTTGGGAAACAGGAAAACTAAGAGTTCGATGCCACCCTAGGTTACGTTGCAAGTTCAAGGCCATGCTGGAAAAACTGAAAAATCCTTGAATATTTCCCCCTTAATTTATTTTAATAAAAATGTTGAGACTCTGTCTCACACCCCCCCCATAATCTTAAAATAAATTAAAGGGGAAATATTCAAGGTTTTCTGTTTGTCTTTTCCAGATCATAATATCATAAAAAGACTTCATGTGTGTATATATACGATGCTCCCTGCCTTTTTCTGCTTGTAAGAGCAATGTTACATCTGAATCACTAAGTACTAACAGCCTGCTGGACCTGGCCATTGGCTGTCCCAGTTATTTCCTGTTACACCTGGCTCCTGTAGGCAGGGACCTTTGCACCTTGTAGCCACAGTTTGAAACCTCTGTTTTTCTGTTTGTTTTGTTGTTGTTCCTTTATTTTTTTCAGTACTAGAGGATTGAACCCAGGGCCTTGTGCATGCTGGGCAAGCACTCTTTATCTGAGTGTACTGAGGTACACTCCACTCCCAGCCTGCAACTTCTGTTTTCTTGTATGCATGTACATATGTATGTATGTATTTATGTGTGGTACTGGAGATTGAAACTGGGCCTCTGCACTGAGCTACATACATCCTCAGCCTTTTAAAATTTTGAGGCAGGGTCTTGCTAACTTGCCTAGGCTAGGCTTGAACTTGCAAACCTCATGCCTCATCCTTCCAGAGAGCTGAGATTAAAGGCATGCACCATCACGCCTGGCTGTATCCACTGTTTTAAATACTTAACTACTTAGGACATTTACAAAATCATACGTGCAGGACAGGGGATTTAGCTCAGTGGTTCTGCCACCTGCCTCACAAGCACAAGGTACTGAGTTTGATCCCCCAGTACCAAAAAAAAAAAAAAATCATATGTGCATATAATTTCCTGAAAAGGAAAACATAAAGCAATCATGTAAAGACAAATAAATGGATGGTAATTTAAAAAAAATTACCTGATGGAACACAGGCTCTTTTACCTTAAGATAAACCTGTAAGATATTAGAAGAAACAAATGTGAATGAAATCTATTATTGAGGAAGTGTATTCCAACTACTCTGGAAATTCTAAACCTCTCCTGTTCCACTCATAATTCTAAACCTCTCCTGTTCCAGCCACATAAAAACTAATCAGATTAGGTGGCATGCCACAGGACGGCTAGTACTCGCAGGTGGCTCTTATGCAGTGTTAGTCTTGCCATGGTAAATAAAATATTTCAAATCTGTTGTGGGTTACTTTGGCCTCTTTGGCTTCTGTATCACTATCAAAGAAGGACAGGAGGCATGGATACTACTAATGAGGGCTGAAGATGTTGACAGTCTCTGTCCCAGATCTGTTCTACAGTAGCAAGAACACTGGGGTTAGAGTTAAGAAGCCAATTTTCTTTTTCTTTTTTTTTTTTAAGAAGCCAATTTTCAAACACACCACTTAAATGCATTGAGCAAAAGATTCATTTTTCCTTGTCTAGATAATGTAGAATAATAGTGGTGAGGAATGATAAGCTAAAATACATGAAAATGTCTAGCACACAGATGCATTTCAGTTATTTACCTAGATGCATCTCACGTACACAATCCCTGGTTTTATGCTTCAGTGTCATGTGGACAATTAAGTTTCATGCTTCTATATCTTTAAACACGCTGCTCTTTACTTGGCTCAGAAATCCTCCCCCACCAGGAAATACTCCTATTTTAAGATTCAACTTAAGTATATCTCTTTCGTGAAGCCTTTTCTGATCCTTTCTCTGTACACTAGAAGCATTCACTTTCTTTCCTACCATCACCGTCCATATCTCTCCTCTACAAAACAATGTCTTTGATAGCAAGGAATGGGCTTAGATAACTCTACATTCCATTTAATATAGTGATCTAATAAAATTTTCTATAATTTTAACTTTTGGTTACGAAGTTTATTTCTGTACTAAGTTTCTTGTACAGATTATTTCCTTTAAGTAGCTATAGGGCTTTAAAAATATGATGCATCTGAGACAATATATTCTAACTTGAAACTCAGTAAACTCAGTATAAGACAATGCTTTTAATCTCTGAATTTCTTATTACAAAATACTAATTTTGGGGGGCATGCCTCTTAAAGATACTTTTTTCTTAAGACAAAGAATTATGAGTCCTTACTATATACCTAGTATTAATTTTCACAACTAATATGAAATGTATACTATTATTATCTTCATTTTACAGGTAAGTAATTTGCCCAAGGTTTCAGTTACTAAGTAACAGTGTAAGACACAAACTCCTATCTGATTGATTCCAAAGCCTGTTTCTAACTATATTATCTCTTACTTTACAAAGGGGGGTAAGTCTTGACTTTGCCACTGCTTCTCTTTATAAACTTGGCTGGCAAGACAAGTCACTAACACTCTCTAGACTTTATTCTCTTTAAAAAATAGGGCTACAAGACTTCTCCTCTGAAGTTTCAGGATTCTTTCATTATTAACCAGTATGTAGTTAAGGTTTTATGGCTCTGAACATATAAATGACTATTTAAAAGTTTCAGGGGCCTGATGAACTCTTAATCATCAATTAAAATCTCACTAAAGTATTTTCTTTCTGAAGCTTTCTTTGAATTTTTTTTAAAAAATTACACTGGGCCCGAGGATTTAGCTCAGTGGTTCCGTTGCCTGCCTCACAAGCCCAAGGACCCGAGTTCGATCCCTGGTACCAAAAAAATATATAAATAAATAAAATTAAAAATTAAAAAATTACACTGATAAAAACTTAAATTACACATTTATGAAATATCATGTATGCTCAAGCAGTCTTGATTGACACTTCATTATCTCATCACCATATAGCTTTTACTTCTACTACTGCAATGATCTTTTTTTTTTTTTTCTTGGTACTGGGGATCACACTCAGGACCTTGCGCTTGCGAGGCAGGCAGTGGCACCACTGAGCTAAATCCCTGGCCCTTGCAATGATCTTTTGATGTAATTCTTTGTTTATGTCTAACTTTTCTAACAGAATGAATTCCTCATGGATAGCAAATGCTTTTTAGTCACCTTTGCATTTCTGGTGCCTGATATGTAAGTTTTTGATAAATGTTTGTTGAAATGAATATTTTCTTAATACAAAAATGCAATTCATTTGAAGGAAAAAGCACTAGAACTGGCTACCTCAAATTATTAGGAAAAGATTAACCATTAAAATAGTCACACTAAGCCCAATGGAGCAAAGTCAATCTCTTGCTTTTAACAAATAGGAGGTAACATGCACATCCATGAGAAAAGTTAGTTTTTTCCACTGCTACTAAATATTTACTTTTTGACCTTATCTCCTTGAAAAAAATTATTTCAACTGCAGAGAAAATAACTCTTGAAAAGGAACAATCCCTAAAAAATAAGATATTCCAGTTGTACATAGAAACAATTCAATTTGAACAGCTTGAAGCAAATATAGGAGGCAAAATGTGCCAAATTCCATAAATGGCAAATTCACATGCTTAATCTGTTATAGACAAAATATGACTTACTGTGGTTACTATTAAACTGAATAGAACTAAGGTAAAAAGCAGATGGTAGTTTACTGAGTTCTTTGTCTTGAAGCATTCAAACCTTTAAAAAAGGGAGAAAGAAACTTTCTTTAGAATATATAACTAGGAACATAAATAGAATGCTGCTTTATCATTTGCTCACATGATGCTGCAAGCTAGTGATACCTATCATTTCTTCCCATTCATGTTCTTATCTTAGATAATCTTATCTTAAGACCCTTCAAGAATTTGGAGGGAGCAGTAGACACTTAAGCTGGGATAATGAGAGGCTTTCTTATGAAAGTTTGGAGTTCAAGAACCATTGAATAAATCAATTAAGTATAGAATTATGAATCAGATGGACTCAAGGTCTGAGGTTGATATTAGGAGGCAACCAAACTGAAGAATCAAGTAGATGAATGATCATATAAGTAATCAGCAAAGAGGGAAGAATAAAATAGATACAAATACTTGAAATGGGGAGAATGTAATAGAGAAAAGAGGGAGGGAGGAAGAAGCTGCCTTCCCAGTTCTACTGAGGTGTACTTTCTGCTATTGGGTTTCATATAATTTTCTCATGTCCTTACAAAAAACAAATCTCTTTTAACTCAAGCTAACTTGAGTAAGTTTCTGTATCTTGCAACTAATTATCACTAAATATATTTGTTTTTTATAAGCAGCTGGTTTTATTTTTTTATATAAACCACTACCATAACTGTTTATTGTCATTATCAAGCATTATGTACTATACATAACCGTATTGCTATACATAACCGTATTGCTATACATTTACATGACTGGCAGCACAATAGGTCTGTCTACATCAGCATCACCACAAAAACTTGAGTAATGTGTTATGCTACAACATTACCATGGCTATGAAATCCCTAGATGACAGGAATTTTTCAGTTTGATTATAATCTTATGGGATAATCATAGTATATACGGTTCACTGTTGACCGAAATATTGTTAAAATGAATACTATATTATAATCTTATTATCATTATCAAGACCATTTGTATCATTTTTTCCTATTATCTATCTTTTATTTTGGTTTTTATTTATATTTGGGTTTCTCATATAAGAGAAGCCATGCAATATTTAAGCTCGTGTGTCTGACTTATTTCACTTAACATCATGGTCTCAAGGTGAATCCATTGTCCTACAAATGACTCAAGTTTATTCTCTATGGCAGAGTAGCACTCTGTTCTATGTAAATACCATATTTTCTTTATCCCTTAAACTGTTGTTGAACATGTAGGCTGCTTCCTAGATTTAGCTATTGTGAACTGTGCTGCTATGAACATAGTTATACATGTAACAATGTAATATGATGTCCTTAACACTTTCAGGAAGATATCTAGAAGGGGAATAAAAGTACTTTTAAAAATAACTGTTATAATTATCTCTTTTCTTAACTGTCTCAACTAGATTGGAAATTTTTTTTGTGCAGGCATACAATCTTACTATTTTTTCATTTATCTAATCTTTAGGATAGTGTCTGATGTACCAGAGATAGTAAGTAAGAAAATATGAATAAAAAACTGGCCATCTGTAAGTATCTAACTTGTGAGGACTGTGTCTTGGTATAGGCAACAGGAGTGTTCTTTCAGTTTATTAACTGGTTGTAGGAATTGGACATACCTTTTATTTCCTTATCTGTAAGGAACTTTGTTGAAATAATTTAAAAATTCCCTTTTACTTTTAAATTCTGTGACTTTATGAACTTAGAATATGATGAAAATGTTGGGTGGGATAGGTTTTTATTTTCAAGTTATGAGTTTATAGCTTGAAAGGGGATGGGAAAATTAGGTGTGATATTTATGAATTATAGTTATCCTTTTCATTCTGTCTGTAGTTTAGAGATTTCTGCTTACCATTTCAAATGTCCTCAAAGCAGGTTATTTGTTAAGAAAACAAAGGTCTTTAGTAGGCCTGGCTTGTATTTCTTACTGGGGTAATCCTACTTTATTATATATAGCCACTTTTTAGTCTGTCCCCTTACTTAGTAAGTTCTTTGATTCTTTTTTTCTACAGAGTTCAGGATCATACCTAACACCAAGGACTTTTACATGTTTCACAAATGAACAAATCTATCTATATCGATCGATACATCTATATATGTATGTATCTATTTCAATAAGGCAGGTTTAATTATGGTTAGAAGTCTAGACTACTTTGTGTACTTGATCTGTCCAAAGAATATCCTAATGAATCAACAGAAAAATCAATTATGTAAAATTAGCAAGGACATGGAATAAAAAAGTGAATACTCAAAAATCAACTGTATTTTCTAAGTGCTAACAATGAACAACCAGAAAACAAAGCTTTAAAACTTTTCCCCCCAGTGCTAGTTATTGAACTGGGGGCTTTGTGGATGCTAGGCATGAGCTATCCTCCTACCTCCAAAATGCAATACCATTTAAAATAGTACCCCAAATCATGGAAAAGTTAGGGTTGAATTTAACAAAGTATGCAGAACATCTATGCATTGAAAACTATAAACATCACTGAGTTAATTAAAGAAAACCTAAATAAATGGAAAATTATGCCACATTCATGGTTTGGAAGACTTAAAAATTGTTAAGATATCAATTGTGCTCTAATTGGTCTATAAAATCAGTATAATCACAATCAATATTCCCGCTGACTTTTTTGGTAGAAATTGATGAGATGATTCTAAAATCTATGTAAAAATGCATAGGACATACAATTTCCAAAGCTATATTTAAAAAGAACAAAATTGGAGGATTTACTCTGTCTTTAAGATTTATAATAAAGATACAATAACAAGACAATAGGTAACTACATGAGGAAACACATGGAGATCAACAGACTAGAGAAAAAAAGTGCCAAGTAGGGCCTAGTGGCTCACATCTGCAATTCCAGCACTCTGGGAGGGTAAGGCAGGAGGATCTCAAGTTTGAGGTTAGCTTAGGTAACTTAGCAAGACCTTGTTTCAAAATAAAAAAAAGGCTAGGGATGTAGCTCAGTGTTCCCTGGGTTCAATCCCCAATACCATGAAAAAAGTCACAGACTGAGAAAACAATTTAAAATATAAATGTCTGGTATTGGACAGGACTTGAGCCCAAAACATAAAGAACTTGCACAAGAAAGCAATTTAATTTCTTTTAAAAAAAAGGCAAAAGATGTGAACGGATCTTTCTTTTTTTTTTTTTTT